GTGTGTGTGTGTGTGGAGATAGGTGGGAGGGGGAGTTGAAGAGGAGTCAAGGGAAGCAGTCCCTTACCAAGGCTTGGATTGGGATGGGTCCTTGCCTGATGACCAGTGCCAGGGTTGCTGTTGCTAAATGATGCATCCCCTAGTCATAGAAATTCTGCATCCCCTAGTCATAGAAATTCTGGTTTCAGATACTGTCATAATTCAAGGTCTATCTGTACAACATTTTTCTAAACTGGAAAGATTTGTGAATTAGAGATGTAAAATTAGTTTTAAATAACCTTTTTACAGCTGTAGTAACTGAGACAGTTTTACAAAAAACTAAATATGATGTGGTGAGAAGTTTAGACAGAATGTGTAGATAAGTAGACATCTGTGGAAGAGGGCAGTGATGCTAAAGGGTAAAAAGGGAAGATAATTTCAGCAATTATTTTGTCTAGTGTGGAGAGCAAAGATACGACAAAAAAAATCAACACGCGGATGGAGTTATGCACATGGAAAGGTAGTGTATCTATGAAGAGAATTAAATAGAGCAGAATATTTTCTGTTCCTTTATAGAGTTAAAAAGTTGTTTTGATTACTTGGAAAAGATCTAATGCAGATTTAGAACTCCTTAACTTAGACCATATCTGCATTTACCATTTAAGCATCTCCTGCTCATACTTGATTAATTCTAAACTGATTTAAGAAAATTAATTTATTTATCAAATTTATATGCCACTCATCTCACGGTTCGAGGTGACTCTGCTATCTGGACTGAGACATCTTGGCAACAACTTCCAAAATGTCCAGTCCAAAATGCAGGCTACAATGTCCTCCCACTAAACAGTTTTCCTGCTGCTACCTTTCTGTTTGGGAAAAGCAATGGCCAGCCATTTTTCTTCCTATGGGCAATTTTTCTGGATATCTATCTATCTATCTATCTATCTATCTATCTATCTATCTATCTATCTATCTATCTATCTATACATACATACATACATACATACATACATACATACATACATACATACATACACTTGATAAAAAATTCAGCATCTTGCATCATCTTGAACCTTGGCCTGTAAGTTTATATATCTACTGAAGCCTGAAACAAAGTTTCAGATTTTCCATTTTTACTCCTAAAAACCCAGCTATACTAAACAATAATTACTATAAAAGCTCAGCAGGGCCCTCTCAAACCTGTGCTACAAATGGATACGTACTTTTTGCATAATAACCGCACAATCTGTAATGGAAGAAATAGAAGCGGGTCTCTATATTTATTTATTAAATTTATATGCTGCCTAGAACGCCTGGAAGATGAGATATTAAAGAAATAATCATGAATAAATATTATAATTACATAAAGAAATGCATGATCAGAAGTAGTTTGTTATTATAGCTTATTTTAATACAGAGGTCCCCAACCTTTTGGGCACCAGGGACCAGTTCAATGGAGAGAGGTTTTTCCGCGGACCGGAGGGTGCGTGTTTTTGTGTGCTGCCTGCATCCCACGGATGGGGCTTTGCTTGTTTGTGTGGACCAGTTGCTGGCATGCCTCGGCCTGGTATTGGTCCATGGACCTGGGGTTGGGGACACCTGCTTTAATAGACTGAATTTAAGTAAATAGTATTTTGATAAAACTAATTACTGCAATTTGTTTTCCTCCATAATGAATTTTAAGGGGAAAATGGGTGTGAACGAATAAACAGCATCCATTACAATGGAAATATTTACTTGCGAAGATTCTTTGAAATTTTCTTGAAGAAATATCCTTCTATAAACATTAGAAACATCATACAGTTTCTTTTAAAATAGTTCTAAATTTATTATGAAAATTATACTGTTGAAGTAGAGATGAATCTCAGTCCTGTTTTTGAGTGGATGTTGGTAAGAAATGATACATCTGAACAATTTAGGGTATTTGTCTTTTCAAATAACTCCAAGTTAAAAAAAAATGCAGAAAAAGAAAATTGGGCTCCCAAAACAAAATAATTCTTTTGCTTTTACTGCTTTGAGTAGGGCTAAAATTCTGCCTGTACATTTCTTTGCACAGACATGCATGGAATTGCACTGTGTGTTCTTTAGATGTTTTAATATCAAAATGATGAAGAGAATTACTAACATTTCTTGACTTTTATTTTTAGAGAAAATAGAGCGTCTTTGAAATGCAGGCAATGTTTAGTAAAATATAGCGCATGTTCTCGTAAATGCCGCTTACAAAAATCCTGCATCTATTTTAAGATGTATTCTGTCATCCTCCTTGCAAACTCCCAACAGGTTATGAGCATTGCTTCTCTTTGCCATTGAACATAAAAAGCTATGAGCAAAGCCAAAAAGGTTAGCTGAGGAAGTTCATAAATCTATACAAAATATATCTTTTCCAAGGTTAATGTAATTCTCGCATTTGTAAGCCTCTTTGAACATGCATCTTGCATTTTTCTCATTTTGTGAAAATGACTTTTTTTTTTAACAATGTCTGTATAAAGATGTTCATGAGAATTTTGTTATAGGGTTAATAATTATTATTTTTAAATTGACATGATGTAAAAATTGCATAATACTATGTTAATAATATCACGGCAATGTTTTTTAATTGTTATTTTAGTTATTTATGTCCAGCCTTTATTGTTTGTAAAAATAACACAAGGTGGTAAATAGATGCAATACTCCTTCCTCCTCCTATTTTCCTGTAACAACAACCCTGTGAGGTGAGTTGGGCTGACAGAGAGTGACTAGTCCAGGGTTAGGCAACCTTGGCTCTTTTATGACTCGTGGCCTTCAACTCCCAGAATTTCTGAGCCAGCCATGCTAAGGGGAAAGGGAGAGTTTCCAAGCTGAGCCATGCTGGCTCAGTAATTCTGGGAGTTGAAGGCCACGAGTCATAAAAGAGCCAAGGTTGCCTACCCCTGGACTAGTCCCATCTAAGACATGACAACCAACTTGGTGATTGTGGGTCACCTGACAGGGCTATTGTGGGGAAAAAGGAGACATAAAGAGTGTTATGTAGGTTGAACAACTTATAAAGTAATAAAAGTGGGATAAAAATTTATCTATCTATTTATCTATCTATCTACCTACATCATCTTCATCATTAGTCTTTACTGATTATATTTGAAAGTGGTCTCTTTAAATTATCTAATGAATATGGTAAATTAATCATATGCATAAAAAAGAGCAAGGCAAGTAAGAGGCATCTGGAATATATGTA